CTCCAATGGAGACGTTACTGGGCCCGCTCGAGCAAATCGACGATCAACGGGAGGGCCTTTACCTTTTACCTTACCTTTTACTGATGCTCCTTATGAACAGACTTCATTCTTAGTAGAAAGTTCTGCTGCAGCTGGACAAGAAATCACAGTGAACCAGAATGACATGGTTGGTGAAGGCCAAAGAGTTATGCAGAAATGTCTCTATGGAGTAGAAGGACTTTGATGCAGTCATGATCTAAAGTCTAGTTATTAGCTTGTAAGCTTTGAATTTTGATTGGTAGTATAACCAGAGACTGGGCTCTTGAGGACTGACTCATACTTAACCAAATTCACAAGAGACCAATATATAATCCAGAATGCCAATTGATTACTTTATAATGAGAAGTATAACTTCCAACTATACCAGAACTAGTGTTTGCTGATCGGTGCCTTATCTCCCTATAGACATATTTACATGAGGAGCTAAATGATAATAGGAAGGTTGCTTGGTGAGGATGGACTGAGGGCAAGGGGAGTTCATAGGATGATTTTAATGTTTTTTTTGTCATCATCAAGCTATGATAATATTATATCTCAGTATCCACGATTGGGCATAACTTCCAAAGTAGTACTAGGAATGTTAGCCTACAACTAGTCCCCCACCTTCCTTCTTGCCTTCATGCAATTAAACAATCTATTTAAGCATAAGTTTTATGGTATCATTAATTTCCTCTATTGAATTCAATAGAAATTCACAACTTTAAACTCACCATTACAGAGCCACAGAAATAGTACAGGGGTTAAAGCAATTGCCTTGCATGTGGCCGACTCCAATTTTGATCTCCACCACCACATATGATTCCTCAAGCACCAACAGGTATGGCCTAACCCCTAACTCACCTAATTAATGGTGAGTTAATATGGAAAATACTTTAACTCACCATTACAAAATGTTAAGAAGTGTGTTACAGAGAAAAGTTGAAAAAACAGTATAATGAGCACCTATGTTCCCACCAGCTAGATCCAACAACTTTTATTCACCAAATTATTATGTGTATGTGCATGTGTACACATATATTGAGTCCACTCTTTAACATAGTGTTCTAATCTTTTCCTGTTCTGGCACAACCTATTAAACAAGCTGTGTTTCCCTTGGCTCTGTCCTTGAAACTTACATCCTATCCATTCTTCAGAACTGAATGTTAGTGGCCTATTGTGCCTTGAATTTTCTCATAATATGCCAGAGTCCTTATACTCTTTGCTTGATTAACTATTTGCTCTTAAAGATTTAGCCAACCCCACATCAGAGCAATAGTATAGTGGGCAGGTTGCTTACCTTGCATGTGGCTGACCCGGGTTTGATTCCTGACACCTCATTTGGTCTGCTGAGCCATGCTAGGAGTGATCCCAGAGCACAGAGTCATGAGTAAGTCCTGAGCACCACTAGGGAAGGGGGAACCAAAACAAACAACAGCCAAAAAGATTTAGCCATACTCATGTTTCCATCACACTGGAAGTTTTTACAGTCATGACATTTATAGCATTGTGCTGTTATTGTCTATTGTTTGTTATCTGAGTTCTTTTATCATTTGACTTTCCCATTAAACTCTGAACTTATTTAGAGAAGGGGCTGTTTCTTTTGTTTCTGTATACCTAGACTCCCCAGTGCCTTGATCTTCTTATTCATTAACCAGAAAACTGAAGTGTCTACTAGACAGTTTTTCTAGTTACATCATAGGTGTCTTTAAATTAACGTGTCTAAAAGGAACTCCTAGCTCTTCCTACCCACTCCACACATTAAAAACTTTCCTTCTCATTAAATTCTCAGTCTTCCAGTTTCAACCCCTTGGAGCAATCCATAACTCTTCCCTCTCTTTCATCTTCCAAACAAGTCCTGTTGATTCTATCCCCAAAATAGATACCAATCTTTCCACATCTCCTCACCTCCACTACATGCTTGGTCCTAACCACTTTCATCTCTCACCTGGAGCATGCTCAACAATCTTCTATGGGCTCCCTGCTTCTATTCTTGTCCCCTCTGGTTAATTATCCACAGGTAAGCCATAATGATCCCTAAAATTCAGATCTGATGCTCTCACTCCCTAGTCAAATGCTGATTAGATTACTCCTTGCCTTTTGGATAAAGTCCAAAAGCCCTGGCTTTACCTGAAGGACACTTAAGCAACTTGCCCTCATGTGTACTTCCATAACTTTGCTCTTGTACTCAGAATTCCAACCATTTTATGTTTATAGCGTCTGTAGTACTCATTTCCCAACCTTTCCAGTTTCATACCTCATTGCCTCTCTTGCATTGTTCTCTGCCTAGAAAAGCTAACCTTCTCCAACAGAGCACAAGTATAACCTCCTGTGGGGAGCTTTCCTTACTTCTAAGTCTGCATTAGGATCCTTTCCTTTATTACCTATAATGCCCTATGCATAATCTAGTGCTTACACTGTATGCAAAAGCAGCATATACTGCAAATATTAGTTTGTCTCATCAAAGGCCATTTCTGAACTTTCTGATAAGAGTATTAATACCTTTTTCGATGTTTTACTCCAATGCTTAGCTGGCTTATACAAAGTATCTGTGAAAATAATTAAGAACAGGAGGACTGGAAAGCTAGTACAGTGGATAAGACCTAGCATGTGGCTGACCCAGGTCTGATTCCTGGCACCCACCCCATATGGCTTCTACAGCCCTGCTAGGGAGTAGGTCCTGAGTATAGAGCCAGGAGGAAGCCCTGACCAGAGCTACGTATGCGCCCCCCCCCACCATAAAAGCAAGCAAGAAAAGAATGAATAAGCAGGGCTGTATAAAAAAAAACTCAATGAGCATGGCGCATGCACTAGGGAGCCAAAGGTCCTATCCCTGGAATCCCAGGGTCATCCAAGCATGTCTTGAATTAATCCCAGAATACCAAGCTGGTAACAGTCCCTGAGTAACACCAGGTGTGTCCCCAAAAACAAAAAGAATAAAATTTTTAAAAATGTTTCTCCAATCTTCATTTAATGGGATCTCCCAGGTAATACTTAGGAGACTCAGAGGTCCCTTTCTGTAATTCTCCACCAAGAATGCCAGCAGTTCAATGCAAGGGTGGAAGAATATGGTGCTACTCAGGCCCTAAAATTCACTGGGGGGTTACCTGGGCCACCCTGGTGGTATTCAGAGGCCTCCAGTACACTGAACTGCTTAAGGGACCATATAGTTCCAGGAACTGAACTGGGGTTGACTGCATGCTAGGCATATGCTATAATACTTTTCCCTCCATCTCTCTGGCCCCAAAAATTCATTTTTGTAGATACCTTATAAAAGATCTCTCTTCTTTTGAATGCTTTGTTCCTTTAAAGTAATATATTTTGAATTTTGACCATTCCTCACCAAATTTAGACATTTTTTGGAATTGTATCACTCCTTAGAGATGGAGGACCCTATCCATTTATTTTCCTCTAGGTAATTTTTCTCTCAAATGTGGAAATCATCTATATACAGAGATGCCATGCTATTGGCCTCACATGCTACAGGTATCACCCTGACCTGTCAAATCTTTTCAGTGTCCATGCTTGATGTTTCACCAAATTGCCCATTATTTAGATTCTAGATGCTGTCTGGTTATGGTGTTAATTTCCCCCTAGATTTCTCTCAAGCCATAAAAGTATCAGGTACAGAACTGTCCCATACTTAATACTTAGCAATCATAATGATTAAGTAAATGCTGGCCTAAGGACCAAGCAGAGTGATTGGTCAGGATTTTAACAAACGTTGGGCTGTATGAAACAGGCTGTATTTCTCTGAACTGAAAAAGTGACTAAAACTATATCGTGGACATCATTTTCTCTGTTACCTTTTAGTAACAACTTTAGGATTATTTTCAAAGTCCTGAGTTCTTGAACCTGTTTAAGAATAATAGTGTTTCACAGATACAGGTTGTCCACCCTGCTAAGCACTCTTCTAAGTGCTATACATGTATGTATGAATTCATTTGATCATCTGAACAACTGTATGAGGTTGGTTCTATTATCTGCATCTTACAGATGAGGAAACCGAAGCACAGGAAATTAGTTTCCCCAAGAACAAAAGTTCTGCAGAACTGTCAAAAATCAGGTATATTCAGTTTATTCCAGCACACCAATACTGAGCAACTATGACACCAATTGTGTTCTTAAGTAAGGAAAATTCCTAAGACAACAATGCCCCGAGTAAATTGCCACGGGTGAGTCAGGCTCCTAGTGGAAAATGGAGAAAGGTTCTGTAGTTAAGGTCATGAATGGCGCAGACATATCCGTTTGGGTGAAACTAGTTTGTGGAAGATGAAAAGGGACATAGTTTTGAGGCGTGTGAAAACAAATTCTTTTTGAAAGACTGAGATTACTTTTTAAAGGGCCATCTGATCAATTTATTTAGGCAGGGGTATGCCTAAGAAGGAAATAAACAGGTATGACGCGTGTTTGCAGCAGGAAAAGACAAAGGCTTTATAAAATTATTTAAAAAAAAAAAACAGAACCACGCGTTTGCCCTCTCCCACCTCTAGTGAATCGGTCAGCAGCGTGCCCCAACACAACCAACGCAATGTTTTAGACTAAACTCAGACCCCTGGGATCTGCGCTTTTAAGAAGTATTTTCACATTTGAGGACTCCGAAACGCCCTTTCGGCAGATGTTTGGAAGGAGAAAAAAAAAACCCCGCACACACACCCAAACGTTTCCTTGCAACTCCGCACCAACTCCAATGCTGTCACCAGAGCGCATGGATGTTCGCAGATTCTTTCAGTTCTTCGCCTGTCCGTATTTTTTTTTTAAGAAAACGACGCGACACACCTGGCCACTCCAGTCTCGGCTCCTACTCTAACGCCAGCCCATCCGGTTCCCCTTTTAAGAGGCGGATCCCGCAGTGTCCTTTCCGAGCTCGCAGCCACCTCTACCCCCCGTCGGCGGGGCGGAGCTTCACGCTAATTGCCCCCGAGCTCCCGGCGGCCGCGGCAGGAGCCGAGACGTCGGGAACTGCATCTGCCGCACCGTCTCTCCGGACGCGGCGAGCGGCGCGGGCCCCGACCGAGCTGGCGGCGCGTGCCGGCCTCTCCCCGCCTCCTCCCCACCTGGCGCGCACCTGGCCGAGGCCCAGGTCGTGCCCAGACCGCGGCGGGCCGGTGCCAGGGCCGCGGGGGCCAGCGCCGAGGAGCGCGCGCGCCATGGGGCCGCCGCCGGGGGCCGGGGTCTCCTCCCGACTGCTGGCCTGGTGCTTCCTGCTGGCGCTCAGCCCGCACGCCCCGTGCTCCCGGGGAGCCGAAGCCGTGTGGACCGCGTACCTCAACGTGTCCTGGCGGGTCCCGCACACCGGAGTGAACCGCACGGTGTGGGAGCTGAGCGAGGAGGGTGTGTACGGCCAAGATTCGCCGCTGCAGCCGGTGGCCGGGGTCCTGGTGCCGCCCGACGGGCCCGGGGCGCTCAACGCCTGTAACCCGCACACGAATTTCTCGGTCCCGGGAAGCTGGGGCAGCAACGTGCAAGTGTCCTGGCTGGCGCTTATCCAGCGCGGCGGGGGCTGCACCTTCGCCGACAAGATCCAGCTGGCTTACGAGAGAGGGGCGTCCGGAGCCGTCATCTTTAACTTCCCGGGGACCCGCAATGAGGTCATCCCCATGTCTCACCCGGGTGAGTGCAACTCTGAACGCCCCCTCCCCCCCAAAAGAAAATAAACACACACCCCAGCCGCGGCCAGCGTCTCTGATTTTCCCCCCACCCTTCGGTGCTCTCCTGACCCTCGTCCCCTCTGCTCCGAAGGCGAGCGGGTGCCCTTTCTGTCCCCGCCGAGTGAGGCTGGGTCCTTTCCTCTCCAAGAGTCGTGGGGGTTGGGCGGAAAAGCCTGTGAATTGGTCTCTCCGGTGGAAAGGGGCCAGACACACGGAGTGCGGAGGCTCGCAACTCCAGGACTATGGAGCTGTCGGCGTCGCCTGTCCTGGGGTTGCACCGGGTGCCTTGCTGCGGACGGGGCGGGCCAGGCATGGGCTTTGGGCTTTGAAGTGACTGCGGGGAAGACTGCCTGCAAAGCCGTTGCTCACTCTTTTCCTGTTTAGCAGCCGATCTCTCTCTCTCTCTCTCTCTCTCTCTCTCTCTCTCTCTCTCTCTCTCTCTCTCTCTGCCTCTCACTGTCTCTCTCCGTCACTCTGTCTCTCTCTTCCCTGTTTTTCTCAGTTTCCTGGTGTCAAGTACAAGATTGTGTTACTGTGCTCTGTTAACCTCATTGCAGTGTTGCAGGAAACTTTGTTTCGACTGGTCTTTTAGCTCTTCTCGGGAGGGGCTGGATGGGGGGTCCGCAGGTCCCAGGCGATTGCTCCTGTCAGTGCTTTTGTTTGCCCTTAAAAATACGGATAGTTTTAAAAAATACATATGATTTAGGCTAGTGAGTTGCGAAACAGGTGATTAACGCTACTGAGAAAATGAAGAAGAGGTTTATGCCTGAAGATAGCAAAGGCCTAAAGACTTTGGGGAAAGTGTCCAGGGGGATCTGAACCGTTTGTGAGGCTCATATGGGTTACGGTGCTTCTCTCTCACTTACCCTTCCAAAAACATCCTTTTTTGGTTATTAGGCACATCTCTATGAATGTAGTGATCCTAGGCCTCAAAGGACAGAAAGAAAAAATAACAATTGGGGTGGTGGGGGTTGGGGAGGAATGAGGCATAATAGCAGCATGTCATAGCTATTAAGAACTGGGCCCTCAGACCTTGGTTAGATTCCAACTCCTTTGCTTACTAGTCCTGTGACCTTGGGCACCTTATTTGAAGTCTTTGAGTCTGGGTTCCCCTATCAATCAAATGAAAAGGAGCTCAGAAAGAACTAACCCAACAGGCTTACCTTGAAGATGAAATGAAATAACGCCTATTAAAAAAGTTTTATTACATCATTATCTCAATAAAGGTTAGCTGATAGGATTGATGAGCCTTTTAGGATTCACTGGAGTGATGAATCTGCTTATTTAACTACTAGAGGTTTGGGGTTTTCTTCAATCAGTTTGTCTGCCCTTGCTTGAAGAGTGCTTGTACTAGGAGGTTTTGGCTTGTTTAGTCTCTTTTCATCTTCCAGCATTGTGACCTTGTATGTGTGTGTATACACACATATTACTCACAAGTAAAATGATAGTATAGAGTTTAGAAGTGGAAGCCAACATTGGCCAAGTATTCAGAAACAAAAGTGAACTAGATGAACTCTTCCAGCTGGATCCCTTCCAGCTCTAATATGCTGTGATTCTTAGATTTTAGACTGATCAAAGAAGTGTAGCTCTGTTGGTTGATAATTTATTGATTAGAGTAAAATTGCTTTTTAAAGGCTAATAAAACTGAAGAATAAGGACTTGGTAAAGTTTAAAAGTCCTTATGTTCCAACTATCTGAATGATATTTTTGAATCTAACGGAATCCAAATGATATTTTTATTTTTTGGGGGGGGACACACCTTGTGATCTTAGGGTACTCACAGATTTGTGCTCAGTAGTTGCTCCTGGCAGTGTTTGGGGGAACGATTTGTGGTGCTGGGGGTTGAACTCAGACCTCCAGCATGAAAAGCATCCACTCAGCCTGCTGAGGTCTCTCTCTGGCACAGAAATAAAGAATTTTTCCCCTGAGTGATTTGGAATCAAGAGATACTCATTAGTTTCTAGGTGCCACTCAGCTTACTTGTATTACAGATAAATTCTTATATTTATCTGGTCCTCTCAGAGTACAAGAAAGATAATTTTTCAGTGGTGGAGGGATGGGTGTTAGAACGCTGTATGCCAGAATACTGACCATCAACTGCTTTGTAACTCTTTACCACACGGTGATTCAATTAAAAAAAAGACAGGTAATTTTTGTTGCGTTCCCATTATGAGCCAGCATGCTACATATTTCTTGTTAATGAGAGACATTATGGTGTAATGGGAACCAGACAAATACTCAAAATTGTTAAAAGATTAATTTTAAAATGATGTAAAAATTAATGCACAAATTTATACTTATATGAAACTGTCAGAAGATGTGAAAAATGGGAATCTAGTTATAACAATTTCATTTGAAGACATTATATGGCAGTAAAACTTTACTAAGTAAACTATATGCAGAAAGGAATTTTGAAACCTAAAGATGTAGGGGCTGGCAGGACATTAAAGGAAGTAAAATGGTAAGATGGATGTTGGTCTTGTGACCCACCCTAGTTTGATTCCTGACACTGTACTTGGGCCCCCAAGCACCTCCAAAGGTCAGCCCTAAGCCCTTAGCTGGGAATAATCCCTAAATACCACTGTGTGGCCATACTTCCAAATATATTATTTTCTAAAATGACAACTATAGACATTTTACTATTAGACTAGTTCAGTAGTATAAGTAGCTAGTTACTTGTGCTACAGAATCATATACTTCCCCCTCTATTGCTGGAGAAAACTGCTTTTCAACATAGGAAAATAATAAGTTTACATTCCATCGACATGTTGCTTTGAGTAGTCACTTGGAAAGTGCTGTATTGTGTACTTTGTTCATTCCTGTGTCAGTATAGGCAGCATTGTAATCTCTGATCAAAAATGCGTTACCTTGGATGTTAGTGGCAGAATGGTTTAAGTGTTAATGAACTCAGTTATGTATTTGCTCTGAATTAACACTAGGGCCACCAAATGTGGAAGAGATATCTCTGTCATTTAAAAAGAAAAATAAAACAAACAAATCTCCCTTTACCTGCCCTTGTAGGGGCCTCCTCGTTTTATCCATTGTTCAGGCTCTGTGCTGAGATTGACACTTGCTTGTAGTAGTCATGTGACCACAAACAGCCTCTTGTTTCAAGTACCACAACTAATTTAGAACAATTGCTTTAAAACTTTTGTTTGGGTCAGAGAAAACGACTAATGGACTGAGCACATGCTTTGCATTCAGGAGGCCTGGATTTTGATTCCGAGCTTTGTATTTAGTCCCCTGAGTACCCTGGGAGAGAAATCCCTGAGCACTGATCTGCGAGTATCCCCTGAGTGCAAACAGCCTTGAACCCAAGCAAACAAAAACTTATTACACAGAAACATGTAAAATCAGTCCGTTAAAAATAAGGCTGCTGTTATGTTTACCAAAGTGTCACAAATGATACTGAGGGTGTGGAGAATTGGGGCTATATTCCAGTGCTGCTTCGGGGCTACTCCTGGCTCTGTGCTTATGAGTGACCCCTGACAATGTGCAGGAAACCATACGCAGTACCTGGGTTCAGAATGGCGGTTTGCTACATGTAGGGCATACAAATGTTATTTTTGTAGCCTTACATCAAATCACAAACTTTGTTTAGGAGGGTTTATTTGGGTTGCAAAGTTGTCAGAAAATCCAATAAGCAAATGATGTATGTTTATAAAAGTCTGGCCTCATAGTCTTTGGAACTTTTCTTGTCACTTTTATCTAGACCTGAAAGAAAATTCACAGAAAATTTTGGTTTCCGAGTTTAATTGCTATTTATATAAATCTGAAAATCAAGATAAGAGGTAGACAAAACCTAGTATAAGCATTGAAGCCATCAAAAAAATGTGAGGTTATCTCGATGAGCCATAGGCATTGTCTCATTATTGCGCAGCTAACTTCAGCTTTGTTCAAGCAGATGGAACTGAGCCTTACATGCTGTTTAATTGAGCACAGCCCACGGGTTGAAGTGATGTAGGTGCTTGCTTGTCCAATATTCCTTGAGTCAACATGTGCAGGCATGAATTTAGTGAGCGATCTGTGTAGAGCTACAATTTTCAGAATCCATGACATATGTGCTAGAACTTGAAGAATATTCAAAGGGACCGATGGAGGAACAGTCCTAAAGTCTGTAAGGTGTGTGAACCAAGTAGTTTATGTTAATGTTTTTTTGGTCTTTGGTGGGATACAGTCTGATGAACAAGTTGCTTGTGTACATTGTTCAAGTACAGTAGAGTGTAAATTATTATACCATAAAAAAGGCAGTAATGAGTATTGAGATTTGGGCTCTGCTGATTACTGTTCTTAAATTTGCAGTCTGATTATTTTATTTCTCTAAGTCTCAGTTTCATCCTATGAAAAGTGGGCATAATAATACTTCATAAAGTTACTGGGATCAAATGAAATACTATGGTTAAAGGGCATAGCACGATGCCTGGCATACAAGGAAGCAACTGTATTTTAAATCACAAAATAGATATATTTTAGGAAATAAAAATCGATTCTAATGTACGTAATGTAAAACATAATTTAACAGTGAGCAGATTGTTTCAAAATCCACATTACCTCATTTAACCCTTTAGGAATAAGATGAGTAAACTGAGTTCTTTCCTTCACCCATGCTTGGCATCTTTATTTCTTATCAAATAACTGCTTCTTTCACAAGCTGCCAGTCTTCTTTCCATTCACAAACACATTGAAATAGTATTCTATACTTATTTATTGTCACACGGTATTTACATTTATTGCCCCTGGGATATTTGATTTGAATAACACTTCTTTTTTTTCTTTGTTGATTAAAACATTCAGAAAAGATTGGATGATGATTCTCCAGTGTAAAATATCTTTTCAAAATCCGTCTGCATGCACTTCCTTTTCTTTATTTAGGCACTGTAAATTACAAAGTTGTTCATGTTTGGGTTTCAGGTATACTGTTCCAGCACCAATCCCTTCACCAGTGTCCACTGCCCCCCACCA